AMMATGGTGCCTGCTGACATATACTATAAAGAATTTAGTACTTASTACTACTATTACTATTTAGTATAAACATATTAATGGTCTATCACTCATACTGCGCTGTRATTGGCTACTCTACTAATGGTCTAATTTGYGATAGRCCACTCRCGGGAAAATCAATCTCATTAATAAACTATTTTAAGGATATTTCAATTTGTTTTCATTATCTGACCGATTAGTATGTTTATACTAAAACAATTAGACCTCTCGGCCTCGTGGACTMYGAGCTAATAGCCCATTCGGCCTCWCGGACTYRGCCTCATGGGCTATTAGMTCGTAGTCCACTCRACCTCGAGGTCTAATTGTTAATTAGTACCACATCTTTCAGGAGGCCAACAAGACCCATYCCTCCCCCCASTYRTCTCTCACTCTTCTTCCCATGATGCATTGCAGCACTAAGAGTAGAAGTAAGACAACTTGGGATCGGTTAGAGACGACAGCATCCAAGTATTGTTACCTTAAAGCATACAACAATAGCATGATAGTACATCCAGCAATGACGCATGCTAAAATGATAGTGTCCCTYCGCTTTCTAAAATTGATCTTTTGCATCAGATTGTTAAGACCAGGAAATTTTTGCGTTACATTAGTTAGTCGGCCTGTGACTCCTTGAAGAATTCCACGCTGGCCTTGAAGATTTTCTTTGGTTGCAAGGGCAATTCCTATTGCTTCATCTGCAAGCCTATCTGAATTTCTTATGTGTTCATTTTCTTTGAGGTAAAGATCACTACGACGATTAAGGCCCGACTTGTATGCATTGATATCTCTTTGAACAGAGCCAAGCAGATCCTTTCTGTCCTTGTAAGTCTGGATGTTTGCCTTGGTTTTTGAGAATTCATGAGAATAATCTTGCAGGATATCTCTGTGTCTTTGAAGTGTATGAAGTTGGGCTGCATTTGACTGGCCAAGAGCGTGTAATCCAGATGCATTTTCAGCCATTAAATCATTTACTTCGGTCAGTTTGGATAACAGTTGCTCGATTTCGATGGACATTGTTTCAAACATTCGATCTGTTGAGCTGTTATTGAGAAGAGGGGTTTTATCTGACCTAAAACGATGAAAAAAGTATGAAGTTAAAATGATGAAAAGTTCTCATTTCTCCCTAAAAGATCGACACATACCCATCTTGGGAGCCTTCTCGGTGAGCATAAGTCGTCCCAAGTTTGCTAAAGGATACCAATTTGAGGTCAATTTCATTTTCAAGTTGTCTTGCTTTTTTACGTAAGTCTTCCCATCGACTGGAAGCCATCTTGTCTTGATGACTCATCAAGCCACAGGCAGACCATCCTCAGTTTCTTTCCTTATTTCCTTATTTGGAATATARTTAGACCACAGGTAGCCCAAAATCACAGTTTCGACTTATTTAAAATCTCTCTCATTTAAAAATTGACGAGTTTTCATTCAAAGATACAAGAAGAAAATGTCAAAAAACGCTTTAAACTTCAATTTCATTGAAATTCAAAGGAACATGGTCCAACGGCATCACTTTGTAGCTTTTGTTTATATTTGAAAATGAAAATAAATATTTTGCTTAGAGCTCAAAGGAATCATTAGGAATAAATTTTCATTGCTTTTTGTTTACTTATTTTATTCTTTACGCGCTAGAATTAAAAAAAGGAAAAAATACTAGTAAGTAACTGAGAAAACTACTGAAAAGTTAGAAATACATCATAATATAAGCTTCATCTAATAACCCATTTATGCTCTAAAATGCATTGTAAGATTAAACCTTTAAACCGACGGATGRCTTTCGAAACGATGACGAATGGATATTTGAAGTCACCTCATTTTCCATATATGAAAAATCAGAAACATGACACCATTGAATACTGATGGACCATGGCCATTGAAATAAATAGGCCCAAGTTTTCATTATTATCTAGTGTTATTGTTATTACGCTAAATACTGTGTATACAATTTAACTAAATGATATGTGTATATTCTGAAACTTAACTTGAAAATCCCATTTTTTCAAAGATCTCAGTTCCAGTCTAGCACCAATGGGGCCTGGACACAAAGGTCAGACACCGCCCCCCCCACGTGATACAACAACTTTATCAAGATGGGCTTCAAGATGGCTAACAAGGCTCCAATGAAGGAGGAAAAACCTCCTGAAAAACGCCGTGTAAATGGTTTTCACCCAAAAGAAAATGGATATATGACCTCAGAGAGTGATGCTGTCAAGCCTAAAAGTGTTGAATTCCACGAGGAGTTCGAGGAAACGCCGCTCATGGTAGCAGTTTTGACATACATCGGCTACTTTGTGCTTGTCGTGTTTGGCTATCTGAGGGATTTTATGAGGAACTATGGCATAGAGAAATCAAAAACTGGCAAAGAACTTGGAAATGAAGTAAGTCCTTCTCAGGTTCCGTTTAAATTCAATAGTTTGCGTAAGCAAGTCACGTTTTGTAGTGTATATTTTGAGAGGCATTTTCGATTGTCGCGGTATTTTGTAGGCGTCGACCGAACGTTTCAAAACTAGAATCAGAGAATTTGAAATGAAGGCAACGAATTATTCTGCAATAAAAAGGATATCACCTGAAAATTCTTTGCAAAATTGTTGCTGCGATTGTTGTTGAGCGATTTAAGTGCTAGTGTTGTGCAGTGACATTTTGTAATGTTTTGTTTCGTAATATTGTCACGCTGTGTGCAATAGTAACATTCAAAACTGCTATTTCGGACATTTCCAATAGAAATATCCTTTTCCGTTATTCTTTTAATGAAAAATATTCTGTTTTGCAGATTTTAAAAGGAAGCTTGTGTAGTATATAATTCAGTCTAAAATGTTTATCGCKATGTCATAATTTGTACACAGCTATTATGTGAACAATATCAGATTTCAAAATTGTTCTAATATTAGCAATGACTAATTCTTAGTCAATATTTGAATTATTCAGCGAGGCCATTTTATGTTTAATATAATTTGATATTTTGAACTTGCATGAATTACTTATTTCATTTCATCCAATTTTATTTTTTCCCATTTTTCACAATTTAATTTTTTTCTTATTTCATCTATTCTTTATACTCAGGGATTTGTTCCACTGTATGCAGACTTTGAAAGCTTTTACACCAGAAACTTATACATCAGAATACGAGATTGCTGGAACAGACCAATTGCTAGTGTTCCTGGTTCACATATCAGTATAGTCGACAGACAGACAGATGACTATGGCTGGTCATTTAGGTTGGTAAATTAGTAATTTACAATTATGTAAAGAGAAAGACATTCGATATTGTGTTTGTTTTGTACCAGGTGCTATTATCTTGAATTAACCGGTCCCTCCTTCAYATAGATTAATCAACAAACAATGAGAAGTTTTCCCAGTGGAATTGGAACTGTCTGAGCAACAAACACAAAATCGAATATTTTTACTAAATTCATTAGCTTTTCCCTGATGAAAATGTAAAAAAAACATATAACAAAAGGCAAGTTTCTACATATCGCAGGAAACTGTATCTTTTCCATGCTCTACATCAAAGGAATATTTTCACTTGTCTGACTTAGCAACAGTAACTAGGGAAGTAGGACAATGAATTGGGATTGGTTAATTGATTTAGCAACTTATCTCTCAGCTGCAGTTTGAAGCAAGTATTCTAAGAGAAATTATGGGCCTGTAACGCCATCCATCAGTGTGTAATCATCTATCATCAAGTGTAGTTTAGATTCATGTCCTTGACAGGCATCATACATATTATTCTAACCATTGTTTTRTGCTTCATGATGTAGATTTGATGGCAATCAAACAAAAGCTCTCAATCTTGGATCTTATAACTACCTGGGTTTTGCTGAAAATGAAGGAGCTTGTGCTGAATCTGCCGAGCAAGCAGTGATTGAAAGTGGGCTGGCATCATGTAGTACAAGACATGAATATGGTATGACAAGAAAATAAATGTTCCCCATAAATTCTTGTACTATTGAATTGTTTAGTCTGTCAATCATTGTCAATTCATTTTCTCATTGAGTCTTTCACAATTCATTTTATTCATTCATTTTTCAACTCTCATTTATTTGTTCACTCACAGGCTCATTTCAAACATGTTTTCGTTTTAGCTTCCATTCATTCTTTCATTCAATCTTTCATTTGGTGTTTCATTTAATCCTATATTTTCCCACTCCTTTGTTCATTCATTCAGTCTTTAAATTTCCTCATTCAGTTTTTCATTTCTCTAGTCCTCGGCATGATTGATTAATAATAATGAATATGTTCAGCCGCTTCTCCATTGTTGTCAAAGATGTAGTCTGACCCACTTATCTCATAAATGACTTTCTAGGCACACTTGATATTCATGTAGAGTTAGAAAAAATGGTAGCAAGATTTCTTGGTAAGGAATCAGCAATGGTGTTTGGAATGGGGTTTGCTACAAACTCTACAAACATCCCCATCCTTGTTGGCAAAGGAGACCTTATTATCAGTGATGAACTTAACCATTCGTCTCTTGTCCTCGGAGCAAGACTTGCGAATGCAAAAATCAAAGTGTTCAAACACAATGGTGAGTRCAGATGAAGCCTTAAAATAGTATTGATACTTATATGCAATTATTTTGGTCAATGAAAAGATTTCAAATAGAACTTGTTTAAAACCCTAATGCTGCCTAGTGCCGATCTAATCGGCACGCGCGACATGCCTAGTCTTGCCCAGAGCCGGCTCACTTGAGCCATCGCTTTTTGATTGGTCAAAAACCCATGTTCTTTTGTTTTCTCGACGAATCAAAAGCTTTGTTTATATTAACAAACCATCATGGAATCGAGGCATCGTATTTTTGAAGTCAAACCGAAGTGAAAACATCGATCGTTTTGTGGTGAGTTTTCGAGCAAATCGTGCGGATTTTCTAATAAATATGGAGGATTTTCGCATGATTCTTGTTGTCTAATTAGTTGAAAATATGTAGTTTTTAGATGTCTGATCCAAATTAAAGAAACGGCGATGAAAGCAGCGATATTTTAGCGATAATTCTGAGTATTCAGAGGAAGAATTGAGCTTTGATGATCAAAATAGCGATGATTTTGTACCGAAAATGTGGASCCGTGTTTTTCCTCCCGAATGCAAAACTTGACATTACTGGAAGASYCCCATCAAAAGCTTGGCAAGAATAGGGTTAAGTTTCCTTTATTAATATAACTGTTGAGTGTATTTCATTTTTAGATATCAAAAGTTTAGAAAAGATATTGAAAGATTCAGTAGTCCAAGGCCAACCCAGGACTCATCGGCCATGGAAGAAAATCTTGATAATAGTAGAGGGTGTATACAGGTATTGATAATACTAGTATTAGAGCTAGACCCTAAAATGCTATACAATGTAGTTCTAAATTTTTGCCCAATAAAGGTGATAATGCTCGAAAGAAACAAAAAAAAAAGGAGCTATAAGAATCACACAAGAAGGCACTTTTATAAGTTCATACCCCATACTCCCCCCCCTCCCCCCAATTAACCCCAATTACCTTTGTAACAATGTTAGGCAATTAAACATTGAGCAACATTATAATGTTATATTTGGCTATCTTTCTAGCATGGAGGGCTCCCTAGTCCGTCTTCCAGAAATAGTTGCTTTGAAAAAGAAGTACAAAGCTTACCTGTACCTAGATGAAGCACACAGTATTGGAGCCATAGGGAAGACAGGTAGGGGYGTGGCAGAGTATTTTGGCGTCAACACAGATGACATTGATATCATGATGGGAACTTTTACCAAGAGTTTTGGTGCTGCTGGGGGATATATTGCTGCCTCTGAGGTGAGTATGAATCACTAAGCAACTTGTTATTACTGTTATAACTTGCTTTTGATTATTAATTTTAGTCCCATTTTGTTCTATGTTTTTGTTTGCATTGAAATGTTTCTTTCTTTTTTTCATTACTTGATTCCTTTTCTTTCCTTCTTTTTTCCTATCATTTCTTTTTCTAATTAATTTTTTCTTTCCCTTCATTTCCTCCTTGTATTCTCTCTCATTTCTTCCTCATTTTCCCTTGGGTCATTTTGTCTTCTTAACCTTTTTGTTCTCAAAATTTCATTTTTCTCATTTCCTAATTTTCATTTTTTCATTCACCCATTCTCTCTACAATAGAAAATAATTAACCACATTAGAGCAAGCTCACATAGTGCAGCATATGCATCGTCCATGTCACCTCCAGTTGTTCAACAAATCTACACCAGTATGAAGATAATTATGGGAGAAGATGGCACTGACAGAGGTGAGAGACTTTGATCATGGGTTAACTTTTTTCTTGAAGTTTATTTCCTTCTATTTACCAGTTGATTAAATGCTTTAGAATATTAAATGAGCTAATAAAACAGGGTTTGTGCTGCATTTTCATCTGAAAATTCTAGGACCTTTCAAGTACTTTTAGAGCTTCAATTTTCAAGGGTTATTTTTCAAATTTCGTACCTGATGTTTCGAGGTGTTTTCCAGTAGTAGTTTTTTAAATTGTCCAAATTTCAATGAAAAGTTTGAWAAAAAATTTGTGCATTTTAAGAGCTGTGAACATTTGTTTTAGGGCGACAAAGAATCAGGGCCTTAGCTGAAAATACAAAGTAAGTACTKTAAAAYATTGTACTAGTGTTATACAGGAATTATAGGCATGAATATTCATTTTATTGTGTDTACAAATAGATACTTCAGAACTCGTTTAAAGGAAATGGGATTCATTATTTATGGGCATGATGCATCACCTGTTGTRCCATTGCTGTTATACATGCCAGC